TGGGCAGGATGCTGGGCCATCTAGTCTAGGTCATGCTTTGCCAAGAAAGGTTGGACCAGACGATCCTTGAGGTCCCTTCCAACCTGATTCTGTGTGCTTGTATCAACTTCTCTTTGGCTGGCTCATTTATTTGTGTGCTTCCTAAGTCTCTGCCTCAAGCCCTTGTAAGTAAGTCTGCAGATATGTCTGAAGCTGCTGCCTCCCAAAAAACTTCCAGCTCTAGCTACCAAAGAAATAAAGAGATAAAAGTTATCCTTTCACTGGTTTTCACCATAAAAATTCAATCTACTTCAAATTCTGTGGACTGTATGTTAGGTTCTTAAAGAAGTGACATACGTAAAGCAAAGGAAACCTGGAGATGTGCTGACTGGTAAACCTAAAGATTAAAATGACAACTGGTGAAGTAGTAGAGGAGTCTTTTTAATGGATTTTGTCTTCTGGGAAGGAGAAGACTCCCAGTGCTACTGATGATTTCTATTAGTATTTTTACGTCCAAGACATTGGACTTTTCAGCAGTGGGGAGTAGTATTAGAAGGTTGCATTTTTGTCAATAAATGCAAATATGAGAATATTTTTCTGATCTGTAATTCCTTGTCAGCAAAATGAATTGTTACATGTGAGGGGTAAATTCAACTGAATTGCTGCAATCTTAGCAGGTCTGCAGTGTGTGTGTATTATCTAGTTGTACGAAAGGCAAAGTTCAGCCTGTGAATTGAATTTTTTATTTTGTATGTAGGGCCTGATGGTCTTTGCTCTGTGTGTGAAGCACTATCCCATCATATATGTGGTCATTGCCAGTAATGCTCTCCAGAAACCTCCAAGTGTGCAGGCAGTGGTGTCATTAAGGAATACTTTGTTTTCCCTTGTTATAGCTGGCTATTTGTGCTGTCTCAATAGATTGAATAAAGTTGAGTTGCCTTTTGACCACAATATAGATGAAAGTTTTAAGGCAAATAGAGAGTTTTCCCATAGCTGAAACTATAATATCTAATTCCTCTAAAACATCCACAAAAACACTGAAGTATCTGCATATGCCTGGAAGCAGATGCCTTTGCATAGTTTTGTCAAGGTAAGGGGAGATGTGGTAAGGAAAAAGAAACAAGAGTGTGAGTTAGGCTGACACTGCCTCTGTTGCACTAGAGTCCTAAAACCAAATGGAGTAAGATTCCCTCAAGTAATAAAAATTATGGTAGGTTTTTGAGTTTTATTTCCCATATACTATGGTATCATCCAGACTGAACTGCAGTCAGCCCACCTCCTGCTTTACTCAACACTGGGAAATCACTTGGGTACAGTGAAGATGTGAGGTGTAAAACAGGGATGAGTGATGTTATCCATGCACTGATGTCACATCATGCTGGAGCTCTCATGTCCTAAAACCTCACCTAGATCTTGACGAGGTGCCTTGGGATTTTGGCACACCAGATCTGTGAAGCAGATGAAGGAAGAGAAGTCATATATCTGAAGGACGTAACTAAACAAGTTCTGTGAAAGAAAGCACGTAAATTCATCTTTACTTCGTGAAAACTCACCTGACTGGAGTATGTACTTGGTGTAGCTGCTCCTTCTGTAGATACCAGAGTGCTTGCACATCTTTTATGATGGTTTTGGTGGGCTTGCTGCCTTTCCTGCAGTGGCTTTGAAGGAACTGAGCTATTAGGACAGTGTGTTTGCTTAAACACAGATTTGTGGAACCTTACAGGGGAGGAATGAGAATTGGCTGGTGGTGATGGAGGCAGCTTTTAATGGCAGCATACAAAGTTCAGGAGATCAGACTTTCCACTGTGTCTGTGCCTGGCCAGGTACTTAAGCTGGTAACCCATATATAGAATACCCCACAAATACTGGTGTGACATCAGTTCTGGTCCTCACAGCCAAAGGAGGTATTTCTAAAAGCAGGTAGCCACTTCATGGTAGGCAAAAAACTGAATTATTCATAGGTACAAAGCCTGCAGCTGTGTGTCATGTTCATTTTAGCACTCAGTTGAAGCTTTCTTGACCTATGTTCTTTGTAATTAAAAACAAATCCCTCAAATCTGAGATCTGTTTGGAAAGGATTCTGTAATGCTAGGGCAGTGTGTATTGTCATGTTCTCATGCCTACCCTAATTGTATGGATTTGGTTATAGGAGCTGCTGGACTCCATAACTTCGATCGATTTGTCACAGTTTACAAATCCTGTAGTTTAACACCATGAGATATAGAAATTACTTAAAGAAAATAATAGTGTGTATTTACTGTGAATGCATTATATACAATTTTATTACATTTATATTAAAATGAGATGCATTTTGCTTTATTTACACTATTTTCAGGCTGTTTTCCTTTTGCCTAAATGAAACCCTTTTGATGCTCTTGCTTGTCTGGCTGGCTGTAAACCAGGTATTTAAACAAAAATAAAGAGTTGCCAGTTTTGCCAGCTGGGGATGAGAACCCGGCTGGTGCTATGTGGGTTCGGGAGGTAGTTAATCCAGCTTTTATGCTTTTTTATGATTTTATGTAAAAAGAGGTTAAAAATCACATTTGGCTCTTTCTTTGTACCACTATTTTGTTACTGTTGTGGGAATGCAGCAAAAGGTTGCCCGTACTTTTTATTATTATTAGGTAAAGTCCTGCATAAATTAGGTAAAGCTGCAGATACAGTTTGCTTTAGCTACTAGCCGTGTGGTTTGCCTTGCTCAGAGAATGTTATGTTTTATTTTCCGGTTGCCTTCTTTTATAAATCACGCATGCAAACCACACCTCAACTTACATGTTAAAAGAATCTACCACTGCCTCACGATTTTATATGTTTTACTAGCTGCAAAAGAAAAGAGCAGCTAACTGTACAGGTAGGAGAAATAGTAACAGTGCTAATAGGTGTAGTAGAAAAATATATAATGCTTTTATTCTGTGGCAGAAGAAACAGTGACGTAAAGACAAATGTCACAGATTTAATATACAGTTTTTCAGCAAATAGCTTGCAATATGCTCAAACTCATAAACCAATTAATTTTAAAATGCAAGAGTTAGTTTTGTCAATGTACTTCTTCAGATAATTTGTTGTATTTTACACTTTCCAAAATTTCACCATCTATTTGGAAATATGAATGATGTAACGAGTCTGTTTTGGCACAGTTGTAAAGAGTATGTGTTAATGTGTTAATATTTATGATTTTTTAATCTTATATACACAAGAGGGATTTTTAATATACTTCTTTTCATCATATTTCTACCACTAATCCTTAAGGACAGTCAAAACTAAGAACATGAATGCATTAATTACTGTGGGATTGTCAAAATTGCCATAGTGGGTCATACAGAATTTTGTTTCTGCTAATAGCATGTACCACATACTTCAGAGCAGGCTTGGATTTACTGGGGGAGAAAATGAGGAGGCAGAAAAATGGGCTTGATACCCTCATTAGGACTGGTGAGGGTAGTGCATGTGCCCTATGATGTGGTCACAGCCACTTACTGTCCCCATATGGGCAAAAGCTTTGTCTATCCTTGCTTCAGAGGAAATTACTGGAAAAAATCTTACACTTCTTAGACAATCACAAGATAATGTACTCGTAGCAAAAGGTTTCTGATCTGTTAGAGGTGGCCTTGTTCATTAAAGCCTGAAGACTTTGCTACACATTGCCAGATTTTCAATACTATATATCTGAATGACTGTTCTGTGTGTCTGCTTACAGTTTGAATCTGGTGAGCTCTTTGTGGTGGTGATGGCACGTGCCTGTGTGTTGTAAAAAAGTATTTTGTTTTCTGAGGATTAGTTTGTTGTTGCTTTTTTAAATTTATTTTTAAATCAGTTATGTGCTGCCTTTCAGAAGCTGTCTTTTACTGATGCAGAAATAATTCTTTATGAAGAATTTTTTTATTCTTTATAAACATAGTCCAACTCTGTAAGTTGTGTTTCTCTGATCTTTCTTACTGTTTATTCTTTAAGTCTGATTTCTTGTTTAAGGTTTTTGCCTCTTCAGTAGATCTTTCTGCAGCAAATATTGGCAATTTGGCATGTATAGTTGTAGTGCCTTCTGTATTACAATTTATTAACTTCAAACTTGGGTCTTTTAAAAATGAAAGGGTATGATCTGCTAGAAATTCACGAAATTGGAATTATATATGTATATATTCAGCAGCCTTCAGTTTCCTCATTGCTTATAGTTTCACTATGGGCGTATGCTGCTTTTATGTTGACTCCATTTCTACAATTTACTATGAAGGTGTATTAAGGTCAAGACACACTCTTTAAATTCCTTCTTCCAGTTCTCTGGAGCTGTTGGAAGGACTGTGGTTGTTTTTAGATACACAGCATTGGAGGCACTATGTTAACAAATGATATAAACATTCCCACATTTCTGTAATCATATACTATCATATAAACCTAGTATCATAGTAAACATTGTCATATTTTTTGCATTAATGCAGGCCAGCTGTTTGGACTATTTCATGGAATATAATGAAACTGTCAGGAGAAACGCATTGAGGACTTTTAATATAAAGAAAGATCATAAAGAGGCTAAGCTTGTCTTAGTAAGATTAAAGTGTTTCTAGATCTGAGGCTTTATTCTTACAGGTGGGGTAATGAGAAAAGAAGTGACTGAGCAAGGAGACGATTCGCTTCTTCTCCCAGAAGAATTCTATTTGAGGCAGTAGTGCCCATAGATAGTGTCTCTTCCTAAAGTTGTGTACACTATAAAGGGGATGATAGAAGACATAAGAAAGGGGAAAATGCAGTCATGATCATTTTGAGGAGGTGTCCTGGGTTCAGCTGCAGCAGTCATTTTTTCTACTAATATTTTTCTTTTTTTTTTTTTTTTCTTTTAGCCTGGAATTTCAGTGAGCTCAGGCATGTCAGTACTGCAGTTGCATGTGTTGAGCCAGATTCTGGGACTCCTTGTAGCACACTGTGAAAATAGTCTTGAAACACATTCATAATGAGATGTATCAGATAGACAGAAATTATCATGTCTGAAATAGTGCATGTCTTACAGCTGGTTTTGGTTTCTGTCTTAGGTGTTGGAAGATAATGACTATGGTCGTGCAGTAGACTGGTGGGGATTAGGAGTTGTCATGTATGAGATGATGTGTGGAAGATTACCGTTCTACAACCAAGATCATGAGAAATTATTTGAACTGATACTAATGGAGGACATAAAATTTCCTCGAACTCTGTCTGCAGATGCAAAATCATTACTATCAGGCCTACTGATAAAGGATCCAAATAAGCGGTAAGTGAAATTACTTGGGTATACTGGCACAATAAATAATCTAGTTATACTAATTAATGTAAAAATAGGCCAGTGATGCCTGGCCTTCCTGGCTGAGGAACCTGTCAGTCACAGAAAAGGCCATATGCATCCATACAGTCTCAGCTTTCCACTTCTTCAATACAGCAAAAATATACAAAGTGAGTGTAGCGAGCAAAAGGGGAAAAATAAGGTGGAAAAGAACACTTTCTTAATTATTCACAGCAAACACAGGGATCTTTAGAGGTTTAGCTTGTGTACTGGAACAAAGGGAGAGCTCTCGAATCATTTTTCAGAGTGTGATTTAACCCTGAGTACTCTGTAGTATCTCATGGGGACTGCAGTGCTTTTTCTTGGAAGTGATCATGCTAGAAGACATGTATATGCTAAATTTTGTTAGGGCACATAAATAAATCACATATTAGACCATGTAAACTAGTAACTTATTAATGAATACATCTTCTGAGTGAAATTTAAATATAGTGGTTTGAAATCAAGTATCACCCAGCTGCTGCCTGTGCCATGTGGTTGTAAACTAAATCACTGTTTTTGTAAATCAGTGAGATTTGTCTGTAGGTCCCCTTTTTTTCCCCCAGTCTCTTTGTTGTGCTTGCGAGTCTCTTGGCATGTTTTAGGCTGCAGGCATTCTTCTGTCTGTTGTCTCTTCTCTAGTCCTCTTGCATCCCCAGTTTGTTCTCAACAAGTTTTTAGTAGTGGACGTGTTGCTGTGTCTCTCTGAGGGAGGGCAAGTGCAACAACACAAGTGGTTAGTCTTCCTGCTGCTGCCCAGCAATGCCTGTTTAACTGAATTTACTGTATGCACTAAAAGCAAACTGACCAACCAGCCAAATACACAGAGAGTAACGTAAAAAATTTGTTCCTGTAGCAACTCCTAATGCATTTTTAACCTCCAAACAATCTGACCCATCAAATATATAGACCTTTAGAATTTAGAAGATAGTTCTTTGTAATTAATTTTTGCAGACAGTAATGTTTATTACGCACTTATATTTACAAGCTTATTCATATTCAAGTTCTTATGCTAGCTAATGCTAAATAGGATGGGAGCACAGAGGTTAACTTCAACTCAGCTTTTCTCTGAGCAGCTGGATGGGAAATAGAGAGGTCTGGAGACTGCAGGCTAGCTGGAATACTTCGCAGCGATGTAGAGAATTTTACAATGAGTAGTTGAGAAACAAAGAGGAATACAGCTTGGAAATGAGAATAACTTTACACCCAGTCACTGCAGGACTGAGTAGTCCAGAATATTTTTGTATTTTGGCAGCAGGATATTACCAATACAGATTTTTTTTTTTTCTTGGTTGTGGGAATTAATGCTTCTTGCAATAAATGCTTTAGAGAGAAATTTATCTTACTTAAAAGGTTGCTTTAAAAATTTCTCTTTATATATTTAGCAGTGCCTTTTAATGAAAGACAAACTGCTTGTGTCACTCTTCTTGTCAATATTTAATATATATGGGCTTCAGTTAAGATTAGCTTTTTTTCCTGTTTCAGTTTCTTTCTGTTAGTCCAGTAAGACAGCCAGTCTCAGGAAGAAGTTAGATGAGAGCTGAACAGTGCTGAGAGTCCACGTGCTGTTAAAAGGGGCAGAGATTCCCTTTACAGGATGTGTGGTTCTTTCTTGGCCACCAGCTCAAGGGAGCTCACTAAACTTCTTGACTCAAATTTGACTTACTAATGAAACAAAAACCTGACAGTTCTCTCTTGTTTTCTCATTGCTGGGTTAGTTTTCTTCTAAGTTAGTAAGCTGACTCAGCTGAGAGTCGTCAGTGGGAATGATGCTGTAGATGCAAGTGAGAAGGGAGAGGTATAGGCAGGGGTGGGACTGTCCTCTTTTGGCAGCAGTGGCCACTTCCTTGAGCTCAAATCATCTTGGGCAAGTTCACCCAATGTAGGTGGAATTCAGTTCCTAAGATGATTTACCAGACAGTCTGGCTTTGGCAAGCTACGGGCCACAGTGAGTAGTGTGGTTATTTACAATGGCCTTTAAATAACCTTCTCAGTAGGCCTACAATTTATTAATTTATACTAATTGACTCAGATTGAGACTATTTTATGGTAATTGGTTAATTGTTACAGCACCCAGATGCAACAGCAGTGAACACTGTATAAAAATGATGTGTGAGTCATTACTGATTCAGTGCCTGGCACCTCCTTGGCAAAATTTTATGTCAGTATTGTTGGATTGGTTTTGGTTTTTAATAGTGCCAGGAAATTAGTTGGTCTTTCAAGAAAACTAAACTTAAGTATGTTTTTAAAATGAATGAATTATTAAAAAAGCTTATCATGGACAGTAATGATCTCTGTAGTTGGAATAATCAAATAGAATAGACCATGGCATGGGTACTTCTGCTATCCCATTTTATCTCAAGATCACCTGAATTCATACTAAACAGGTGAGATTTATATATTAAGTAGGTGAGAATTGTTCCCAGGTAGTCAAAAACAAATGTTCACTTTTCCAACCATTACAATAACTTAATCTTCCTTTAGAGCAATGCTTGTTTAATATGATTTCTTTTCCACTCTCCTTAGGCTTGGTGGAGGCCCAGATGATGCAAAAGAAATCATGCGTCATAGTTTCTTTGCTGGAGTAAACTGGCAAGATGTATATGATAAAAAGGTATGTCTTTACATGACATTGAATAATCTGGCTTCTGCAAAGTGGTTTCCATGGATAGTCATAGGACTGCTGCTCTCTGAAGTTAGTGTTTTTCTTTGCAACTTTTTGTGTTAATACAAATGAATAATTATTCTGAACTAGGTGTGCTTAATTAATCTTTTGGTTTTTAGTAATAATTTTCCAGTGGACCAAAAATAAATTTTGAATCCCTACTTAAACTCAGCAAAGATTTGTTTCTTTTATTATGTAAATGTCCAAATCTTTTCCTTTTCTTTTTTCTTCCTGGACCTTCAAGAGAAAAGCAGGTGTATGTCTTAAGATAATGGCAGAATATGGAATGGAAGTTTATCCTGAATTGTCTTTTTATTTCTGCCTTTTATTTTATGGAAATAAGAAAATTAAGTGACTGGAAAGGACTCATAGCAAAACCCTGCTTTTTGATTGTTTGTGGTTAAGAAGAAATCTTTTTCAAACTTACTTTTAAAGAGATACCTAAGAAAATTAAAATAGTGTTAAAACACTGAGCCAAAAAAGCTTGTGGAGAAAGCAAGTACTGGGAATTCAACTGGAACAGTTTTCTCTAAACCCGGTCCTGTTCCTGTAATGATCAACACTTTGGGAATGATTTTAGAAAACGAATTTATCTTACTCAGTAGTGAAACTCAATTTGACTTAAGTTGTTTTATATACAGAAGCTGATTTTATCTCAGTCCTTGTGTAAGAATTTACTTGTTGCTATAAACCCCTTCTATTTTGATAAATTCTTTTTTTTTATACCCCAACTGTTTTACATTGTTAATCTGTCAGTTGAGCTGCGTAATTTTAAAAGATAGATTTTTGTCCTTTTTTTGCTTTGTTCGAATAAAAGGAAAATGGAAGACATACGAATGAGCAGAATATGTTTATGCTACAACGTCAATGATACAAACTGTTTTTTCAGTTGTTGTTGAACTGGAATTTTGAAAATGTGTGGTTGTTGGTGTGGTACTTCTCTGACAAATACCGGAATTGAAATAGGAATTGAAATATACTTTGTATATGCTGATACAAAATATGGTACTCTGAAGTTACTTGGTACAAGTGTGATTTTTCCCTGGCAGTTTCATGAGGTTTCAGGAAACTCTAAAATAAATAATCAGAAAAAGTATAATAATCAGGTTCCTTATGAGCTCAACCACTGGCTGGTTATTTAAGGACATTGTAGGAAAGCACTTTGAGGATAAAGTCTAAAAATACAAGTTGAGGACCTTTGGAGTTTGAAAAAAAACCACTAAAATCAGTTGGATTGCAGCATCCTAGGACTGGGTGACAAAGAAAAAGCTGTTACGTTACTCTTGCTCTGTTGAAAAAGATTTCTTAATTATTTTACATTAGAAATAGAACTCTCGATTCTACACTAGACGTGATGTTTAATTAAGAAAATACGGATATCTTAATTTTTAAACATGTACTTTGAGTCTTTCCATGCCACAATGGCAAATGTCTTTCAGTCAAGAATTTATTCTGAGCTATTAAAATAAAAGCGGGTATTTTGCAGGCATTAAAATATATATTAAAATTTATGTAAATATATATAAAATGCAGATATTTTGCTTTTATACTCATGGAGGTGGATATGGCTTATTAGAGTATTCTAACTGGAGAAATTGTAGTCATTCATTGTTTGCTCTGGCTACTGTTCCTTTGAGAAACTAAATTTGCCAGTAAAAAAATCAATTGAATTTCCTCAGTTGAACAGTTAACTTCAAGCATCATAGAATTGTTTTTCTGCAGTACTGGCACGCCATGTATTCTTTATGGAAAAATAGCTGATGAAGATGTCTCCTGACAGTATGTTTTTCTGTTTAATTAAAAAATAGTTTTGTTCCTATTACAAAGCCATTTGTCTGGTTGGTTAAAATACCCAATTGTTCCTTCTGCACACACAGTCTTACCAGTTCTCAAGTATACAAAGAGTAAGACTGCTCTGAAATATAAACATGAAATATAATAATAAGGTTAATGAACTTTCACTGAGTATGTTTATTAGGATGCTTATATGAATATTTTTGAGGTTTTGGTATTCTAAAATAACTCAGGGGGAATGTGTATCCAAAAAATTTGATTTTCAAATAGATTTATTCTATGCTTACTTCTGTTGCTGTTTATTATTAGTAGTATAGTCTTCAGCAGTAGGGTCACTTGATGAAATTGATAGTAGATATAATTATTTGCATAGTAAAAATATTTCACAGTATTCTTGCCTGAGGTTTATGCACCATGAAACTGTAATTTTCTGGCTGCATTTCAGGAGTGTGTTGCTGTTAGCAATGAAAGAACTGAAGTTCATATTCAGAGTAATGGAAACCAAAAAATCATGTGTGTTCCAAGTAGTTGCTTGGGGGATGGTTTAGTACATGTGGACACTGTGCTCTTGTGCCACTAATTTTAGCATTTTTACTAGAGATTAGGGCTAGTACGTCTCTCTACTTAACTAGGTTATCACTTTACTGGTGTGATTAGAGACATAATTATTTATCTGTAAACTTCAGAGTATTTCATGCAATAAACAGTGGCTCTGTAGGGTAAATGGATCCAAATGGTCAAATGGAATTATTAGCTCTCTGGTACTGCTAACGAGTTAAACTAATCTGGTACTACACAACGACAATAAAACATTGTATGGGCACACTGGAGCAGAGAAGGTCGTTGCCTTTAAATGAAAAATGTATAGTAGTTAGCATTTGTGATCAGATATATTTATTTTTGGCAGAAAAAACATGAGGGCATATGAAAGAGAGCAGCCTGTGCCAGGTTCTTCCTGTGATCATCTCAGCCCTGATGAGTTTTTAGCTCTGTGCCTGAGAAATTGAATAGTTTGGCAAACTCTGAAGACTTCAAAAGCCCATATACTTCTAAATAAAATATTTGCTTTATTTTTAGCTAAAATCAGGAAGCTTTTTGAAATTTCTCTGTTACTCATTTAGGAATTGTTTTAGCTTATTTTTTTTGAGTTGCAGAAATGTTCTTAAGTAGTTGGATATTCTCTTTAGAGTCTTTCACTGGGCATTAGTGTAGAGGTAGCAGTTGGGGTATGTCTTCAGGCTTGCAGCTTGAAGCACTCAGGTAGCCTCATGGCAAAGGAGATCCAGCCCTTGTAGCGAAGCCTGGGTTTCCTCCTGCATGTAATATGGATGAAAGAAGAAAGAAACCATATGGGAATTTGGGCTGAGATACAGGTATCTCCTTTTGATTTCTGATTGTTCCTGAAGCAAATTAGGGAGTGCTAACCTATTTATTAGTTACTACTGGGAAGGGAGTAGGGATAAGTGTCAGTTATGGTTAAAGTTGGGGTGTCTGACTTGGCTGCAGGTGTAGCACTTGCGAGGGCACCTGTTGCAGTGTGGAGGCTATGACTTTCATTATGGAGTCTGACAGCTGCAAGAAGCTGTTCCTTACCCTTCAGCTGTGACTACCTGTGCTTTACTGAAGACAGAACAACAGCAGATGATGAAATCCCATGGTTGAAGCCTGGGTTCAGGCCCGGCAATATCTGCAATATAAGTATAACCTTAAATGCATGTTAAAGTACTTCTGTACTGAAAGGAGAGGAAAGGAGGAAAATGGGAAAATAGCAACATCTGGTTTTAGGCTGTTGCTTTTTGAGTCTTACTATTTTTGTACAATTACCTGCAGTGGAACAAAGCCTGTAGAAGTGACCCTCATTACTTGCTTTTGTGTTGTTGCCATGCAAAGTAGTAAAAAGATCAGAGAACTGCTAACCAGTCTGATCTTTTCATTGTGTTTCCAGTAATACTTCAAACTATGTGGGGCAGACCTAGTGGTTGATTACCACCCTTTCCCCCAGCTGCTTGAATTTACTGGGGGGAAAATATACATAAGGGTGCCTGATTCTTAAATTGTTGCTGTAGTCTTGGGGAATGTGGTTTCTCTCCGTCCGTGGTACCAGCATGTTATCACTTGGAAGACAGTTTGTCCACAGGCAAAAAGGCAAAACCCCCTGCTGATGCCTGCCTTGCTGTGGATTTGTGACGTGAGTCATTCCACCACTGAAATCCTAGCCCTGCCTCCTCCCCTGCCTGGGACCACCACATGCAGTGTCCTAACAGTGTGTTTTGTAAGTTACTGAATTTCAGTTTATGTGCGAATAGACTGTTTGCTTGGAACATCATCTAGTAAGTTAGCTGGTTTGTTAATACAAATACTTTTTTTTTGAGTTGAGAAGTCTGTCTGTGAACTGTGACATGTTTTCAGCACTTCCAGCTGAGCATGCTTATGATAAATACAAAAGTGTATTTCAGTGATGTAACCCCACTCTCTTCTCATGGTATACTTTATTTTTTCCACCATTCTGCTTTGGCTAATCTGTCCCTTCTGTTTGATTCTAGAAAATAACAACTTTGCAGTTGTTTGGTTCTTCAGAACAGTTTAAGGTAGATGAGAGTTTGATTTCTGGACATCAAATCATTAACTTTCATAGTCAGAAAAACCTGTAACATTTGACACTGGTTTTGACATACATCAGACTTGAATAATTAACTGCGTGGAAACTTTAAATTCAAGGCTTTACTGAAATACTTGTTTTGTAGTTATTTTTATAATAGATTTTCAAAATACTAAGTTGTAAGAAAAGCAGAATTCATCTAATACATTGTAATTATTAATAAAGAAGAGGCATATCGGTTGGGATGCAACAGGGATTTTTTTTTTTTTTTTTTTATCAGACAATTTGGACGGTTGTACTGAAATTGAACCATAGGTAAGACTCAAATAGTTATTCCTTAGGAATAAAACCTGAAATTGAACAACAGTGCTCACTCTTTTGTATTTATATGACACATAAAGGATTAGTGTGCTTGGGAGTTTTGAGATTATAATTTAGTTATCTTGTTTATTTAAATGCGTAATTCAGTGGGGGTGGTGTATAGCTGCTCCTCTTCCTTTCACACTTTATCTCAGAATACTATGCAGCTGCAGTCTGTTGGCGGATGAGATTCTTATGGTAGTGTTAATTCTGAGTTTGTTGAAAGGAAAATTCCTGTTACATTAAAAGGAGAAGGAAGATCAGATTGTTCTTAAGC